TTTCTTCCCATGAGAACGGTGGTCTTAAAATGCAAAATAACTAATTAACATCTAGAGTTGCTTATCGGCATTTCTTAAACGTTTCATTAACTTTATCCAAGTTACGTCCGAGAAACTGTTCGGAAAAAATAATAGGCTTAGCGATAACAATTTATGGTCCTGACTTACTTTCTGGACGGCATAATAACAGCTTTAACCTTTGGTCACTGTATCTATTGTACAATTTTCATTTTGAGCTGAGAACACAATAGATCTAATGTAAAGAAACACATGCAATGTACAGTTGTTAAAAAAATAATTGCTTGTTTGTCAATTGTTAATCAGAAAAACGCAAGAGAATTACCCGTTGAGACCCAAACCTTGGCATCAATCATCTCTTTTGAACTTTGTATTCCACTGATGGGATGGGGATCATTTTTCAAAGGAGGTCAATTTCTTATAGGTCGCACATTTATAAAACTGACCTTAGGGTTCTTTTTCTTAAAAGAGTAAATTTTTCATTTTTCGATAACCACCGGTCATTTTTTCTACGGTGGTCAGTATTCGTCTTTACACCGGCTTAAGAATGCATGAAACAAAAACACATGCAACTGAATCTTCTTTTGTATCACCAAGAATTCTCTGTATCAAACAATGTGAAATAAAGAGTAATGAATAGTGAAAAAATGGAATTTAGGATCGGTGCCCTGGTTTTTTCGACAAATCCAGTGAGACATTCAGTTCACCGTGGATTATTCAAGCAAATTTCGATAAGATTATTATCTTGTGAAATACTTTGTTTTTATGATACGAGGGGTGATCAGGAAGTTCGCGAACTAATTGAATTACTTCCATAAAAGAAAAAAAATTAGGGTTCAGCGTTCATTATTTTTTAAGATAGTCTTCTCTGATTTTAATGCAAATCTGTCACCGTTGTGCCCATGCGCTAATCACGTGATCCAGGCGGTCAAGTGACATGCTCGGTAGCGTTCTGCTCATAGTAGCTAAAAGATTTTTCTGAGTCATATATATCTTAACATGCAAATTATTTGTTACAACAAAAACAGCCCATTTGTCAGAAATGGCCAAACCTCGGCAATAGGATGGGTGGATAAGGATATTCTTTCCCAGAATGAGCATGGTGACCATCACAACCCGAGTCCTCTGTCTTGGGAGCGTCGATTATCCAATGTGGATAAAATATGGGCACTTTCTTTTTTCTTATCTGATACGTTTAAAGTCTAATGTAAACGATATTTCAGGGATTTGATGATTATATTATTGTTAAAATATTCAACTATTTTTCTAACTATAACTTGGCGATCTTTCATAACAAATTGCTCAACTAAGGACACATCTCTTCCTTAGCTTGCTTTCACTGGACAACATAACAAACATGATTTTTAACCATCTCCGAAGCTTCTTTCACTAAAACAATCAATCCAATTAATGATTTGAACTCCTGGCAAGTCTTTTTTTATTTTCATAAAAATTGTACGAATTGATATATTCTACTGCAAAGGAATTTCCAAGATATACGTTAAACTTTACAGCCGTTCGTTGCTCGAGTACGACTGAGTCAACCATTTTTCGTCACATGTCATCTCCATATTGATCATTTTCTCATTGTGACGTCACAAACATGTAGCAAAACGTTACATAACACCTGCTATTTATAGAACGTTTGTATGAATTTAATTCTGAAGTGAATTATGGTTTTGTAAATATAGAGATAGTTCGAGAACTTTTTGATCACCCCTTGTATACGTTCTTATTTTCTATATCCTTGTATTAAACTGGGATTTTTGTTTACTTACAATATCGGGTGTACCCATGGCCTACGTGCCACACAACAAAAGCGAAAAGGACAGTCGACCGCCACATCCATATTTCAGATAAACGCGGAAAAAATGTATTCCTTGTTCAGAGATGATCACGACGAAATATCTCCGTATTATGAACTTATGACAGCATAAATATGAAATTTCAAATTAAATTGCTACTCATAAGAATAAAAGAAAAAAACCCAGGAAGTTTAAAGTAAGCGAAAATGAAAGATTAGCTAGAGGACAAACAAGACAAATCTAGAAAATGTAATCTTCCTGTGTAAGATTTTTTACTCTATTCACTCAAACTGCTAATGACAATACGAACTATTCATTTTTATCTATAGTAATGTTTCGGAATTAGACTACTACTTTTGTAAATAATGAAGGGTAAAAGCTCCCTAACAAAAAAATACTATACTAACTATAGTTAACTATAGTTTACTATTATATAGTTAACTATAGTACCAAAGTAAAAACTTTGGAACTTTGATTTACTATAGTAAAAACTTTGAAACTTTGATTTACTTAGTAAAAACTTTGGAACTCTGATTTACTAAAGTAAAAACTTTGGAACTTTGATTTACTAAAGTAAAAACTTTGGAACTTTGATTTACTATAGTTAACTATAGTAAACTATAGTTATCTATAGTTTACTATAGCATGTTTTGTTAGGGAGGTACTGGAAGATTAAATATGTTTTGTAAATGAATCAGAAACGCACAAAATCTAAAGAGATGCTTTGTTTTGGTTCCTTATTTATCTATGCTTTCATTTTAAGGATTATTTCCTGAATTCAACTTTCTTAACATAATGGTTCTGTGCTTAAAGGAAAGGAAACATATTCGATATTAAAAATCCCGTGTCTATTCTTAAAGTAACTCCAAATGGATGTTTAAAGTATAATCTGAATAGCAGACGACAGCTGCTAACATATCAGACAATAAGAATACCATCTTCATTTTTTTTTAATTTTCACTGACAATATTTTCAATAGAGAATATAAATACAAAAAGCAATTATGCAATTACAGCTGAAAATTTATCAAAAATTGTTTTAAGGATAAAAACTAATAACTATTGAGGTAACCAAAAAGCAGCACACTTTTGGTAATCATGTGTCTTTTCGTTTCTAATAATTTCAATTCTTATAAATAAGTAAGGTAAAAAAAATAGCATTTGACAAAATATCACAAACCTTTTTTTTTTAATTTTTGAAACTAATTCAAGTAGATGATTATTTCAATGTAGGTATTTTCCATGCAGATTGATTAAAATTACATAAAACCTCAGTAACGCGTATGTCTTTCCCTCAGTGCCGGTACACGTTTGCCGCGTGTGATATCATTAACTTCAAAGTACCGATCTAAACGTTCTGTGTACGCTGTCCACGTATAAACTGTGTCATCAATCGCCTCAATCTTCCCAATATATCCAGTCTTGTATTCCACCATATTTCAAGTTAAAGACTACACCTTGTATTTACTACAAATATACATCGACTATTGCTTCCAAACTTTTTAAATACAGGAAAACTTTACAGGGCCTGGATATCGAATATCTGAAACATAATCCTCCATCGTGTTCATGTTCTTTCTTCACCCTATAACTATAGTCCTGCTGGACACGTTATTACTGGTGACGTAAATATAGTTAATAATGAGGACCTTAGATTACTAATTTTAAAAGGCCCTAAATATAGGGAACCCCGCTCCTTCAACTGGCGTCGGAATTTCATAAATATTATGGATTCTGTAGAGAATTACGCCAGACGATGGGCCAGACATGAAAAAGAAGAACTTGACACTTTGTCAGAATGGATTAAATGTATCAGATGTATGTTAAAATCGCGCATTAAAAGATCGAGGGGCAATATGAGAACCACCTATCCTTCAGTATTCAATAATCCAGAAGTGAAAAAAGAATTAGATAGATTACACAATCAGTATGTACTAGTCCCTGCTGACAAAGCAGGTAACATCATTGTCTTTGTTTGTAAGGCTCATTATATTAAATGTATTTTAGAGGAACTTGAATTTAATTCTACAAGTGGTAATCCAACTTATACTCATAGTTCCCTTTCTTAGGAAGAAATTCTTCAAAATCATTTGTCAGTTTTGAATATTTTAATATTCCAAACAACCAAAATGAATTTGAATTACCATATCTATATTGGATTCCGAAACTTCATAAAAATCCTTATAAACAAAGATACATAGCGGGTTCCAGTTCATCCAAGCCTCTTTCTTTACTTCTCACTGAGATATTAACAGTAGTGAAGCCAAATTTTCCAAAAATTCCTTGGAATTTTTAAGTATCCACATCTGATTTACATAACTTCTCGAATATATTGTTGCACAGAACTTTTGAAGTTTCTCCTTCACTGTGAAGGAGAAACTTCAAAAGTTCTGTGCAACAATATATTCGAGAAGTTATGTAAATCAGATGTGGATACTTAAAAATTCCAAGGAATTTTTGGAAAATTTGAAAGCACAAGATTTTACAAAAATCAATAGCTTAAAAACTTACGACTTTTCAACTTTATACACAACCATTCCCCACGATAAATCAAAGTCCAGGCTTTTTTATATCATTAACAGCTGCTTTTTCAATAAAAATGGAACTCGTAAATTTACTCACCTTGTCATTGGTCATTTGCAAAATTATTTTGTTAAAAAACATTCTGATTGTACACACAACTACAAAATAATGACTCTAGTTCACAATTTTAAACAATAAAAGTCTTGAAGGGGGTTCTAAAGTGAATGAAATTTATAATTAGGAACTGGAGTTTTAGAGTATATTAGGTAAATAAGACTTTTTTAAACAAACCACGATCTTGTTAGTCTTTATAAGCTTTCAGTCTATAAGCAGTTTGGAGTAAAATGAAATCAATAAAACGGGTTTTCTCTCTTATTTTACTATATTTTTTATTTTGTTTTGGTTTCATTTTGTATCAGTATGTGAGGTCTTTAACATATGTGAAAATAAGAAAAAATTAAATTTAAGAAGCATAAAACATAACGAATGTTCCTTCAATTCCAAAGAAAATTGGAGGAAATTCGAGTTAGCCAATATTTATTCAGGGAAATTTTTTATCTCAATTTTACAATTTTGCTACTTGAAAGACCTTATGTAGTATTATATTTTCATGCAAAAAAATGAACAAATGATATTTTAATTGGAAGTGGGGATAACAAGATAGGCATAAATTTGCAATGAAATGAATAAAACGAAACAAAATATTCAAATTAATTATTATGATAAAATAGCACAAATCAATGTACAAGTATGTTCTTATTTCACAACTGAACAGTATACAATCGTCATGGTTTAATTCCCTGGATATGGCGGGGCTTTCTCAGAGGTTGTCTGTTCAACCGGATATCCTGTTCCATTGTATCCTGTTCCAGCTTGATATGGATTGCTCTGACCAGTTCCGGTACCAGGGTACGGTGTCGTGCCATATCCACTCTGAGGTGGATAGGAATTCATTATGTTTCCAGTGGCTGGATTTCCGTATCCAGTATAGGGTGGAGGGGCTTGATAATTTGGATTGGCGTACCCTGAAAGAATGATGGCGAAAGTAATGATATATTTTTTTTATACGTTCAGAGATATGCTTTGAATGAAATGAGCATCATAAAACACATAATTATGTTGAATAATAAGAACATAAATTCATTAAAGGGAATCTATTGACAAAAAAAAAAAAAAAAAAAAAAAAAAAAAAAAAAAAAAAAAAAAAAAGGGAGAGCAATAATTTTGCTTTCCGTGTTTTTCACAATTTATTTAACTTTTCAAGTGCCTGAGGTTTCTTAATTATTCAAATTGAAATTAAAATATTTCATTTCACCTGTCGCTGTTGCCGTCACAACCTGTTGATGACCTCCAGTTCCAATAATAACTCCATGTGGGTGATAACGACGACGTCGACAAATGATGATTATCACGGTGATGACAACAATAGCAAATACAATACTACCGACCACTGAGCCCACCACGATACCAACTGTGGAATAAAAATTAAGATACAGTATACTGTGTAACACAATACTACCGACCACAGAGCCCACCACGATACCAATTGTGGAATAAAAGATAAGATACAGTACAACATATTTATTATAAACAAGATTATAGAAAATTCTTGATTAAACAGAGGAAACACAGATATTCATAGAGGAAATATATGTGCAGAACAGCGCAATAAAGGGAAGAAGCAATTTCAGTTGATTCTTGTGATTTGCTGTTATCGTATTCCATTATATATACCAGTTAAACATTGAAAATATCCAATAAAACATTTTATCACATGGTTACTCCTTTATACAGTAAATATATCTCATATGATATCGTTTTCATATCAACAGATGTGACGTCACAATGTTTTTGCGTAAAATTGAAGCCAAATGAAGTGTTAAATACGTATGAGCTATGTGTTAAACATGTGATAAAAAAGAAACTCCCACTGGTTTGCGGTTGCGAAAGATTTTTACCCATCTGGAGGTTTGTTTTCCATCCCCTTGCCAAGGCTCGGGGATAGAAAACACACAACTCTTTGGATAAAAATCATATCAAACCACAAACCATGGAAGATCCTATACCTCAATGATCACTTTGATAGAATGAATTGTCTATCAAATTTTAATTAGGTGTAGTTGACAAATGATGTTGTCCAATATTGTTCTACCTTCAGAAAACTTAATGAATCGATTATTGGCTAAATTTTTTGTCTGCTTGTAGTATAGTATTGAAAAGGGTTTGTAGAACATTCTGACACACTGGCCACCATGTCTGCCCCGTCCTTGAACTGGGAGCAAATTGTTTGTGACTTTGTAAGATATTTATACATAGTGTTGATGAAAGTGTAAGAAGATAATATTTATCACACAAAATCATACTTTTAAGATCAAGATAATTTTTCTATAAATGGAAAAGGAACATTAGAGTTGTGATGTGTATGTCATAACCTGATTTACATTCCTATCATGTTTTAATTAATCTTAATTAGGAAATAATTTCAATCAATCATGCTTGTTTCGAATTATTTCTTAGATGTTAGACTATCTCTCTCACCTTCATATGGGTTCTGAGTCGTCACTTTAAGTGTAAAATATCCAGAATAAATGCCGCTTGTTTTTGATGGTGCTGTTAATTTGATCTTGACGTCACCATACGTATCGCCACAGAATTTTTGAGGTTTGGAATCATAGCAGCTGTATGTCTATAATCAAATAAAGATGTGAATTCATGTATTCTGATTGCTGTATATGTCGTTTCTTTTAAAAATGAAATAACATACGAGTGTAGTTTGACCATTAACTGTCTGCAATTTTTATTTCAATTTTACATGCATTTTCCACATTGTGAATTTTAAGTTTGTCATAAACACAAAAAATTAGGATTAAAAAAAATTAAACAAAGCTCTAATCAGTAATGAAAAATGTTTATGGACTTTGAGAATATTATATCATTAAAAAGATATACATTTTTTGGACTTTGAGAATATTATATCATAAAAAGATATACATATTACCAGTAAGTGTATCTAGCAATTTTTCAGCATGTGCTACCTACCATATTTCCCCAGGAAAAAAATGTTCAAAGAAGTATCAATGAACAAAAATTACTGTGTCTATTAACATTGGGAAAATACATGTAAATTAATGTATTTAATTAATGTTAAGATTACTTAACAACTCTATTACAAGTTATGTAATTAACAGTAGATCGCCATTTATTTTTATTACATCTAAGGGGAGATCTCTCAAACTGCATAACAGTACACTATAAATAGACCTTGACTCTAGTTTGAAAGTTTAGAGATTTCTTAAAAGAGAAATGTATTGTTTATGAATGCAAATAAATGATAAAAACATGTTTTACAAGAATATGCAAGTTAAAACCTGCTGATTATGAGGATATACATACATACAGTAATTTGATAACATATTCAAAACAATTGAAAAGAAATTTTTCTTCCATAATTTTTTTTTTCGGAAATGTTTACTGAAAGTTTCAAATTGCAATAATTTATTACTAGTACATGTACTTCTAAAATTTGGTGGATCTTAATTAGACACAGAATATTTTTAATTTTGAGAGTTGTAAGACATTTGATTGAATAATGACCTTTGAATAAGAATTTTTTTTCTCTTAAAATGAAACACTTACTTCGTCAAGTTCTGTTGCTATAAGCCCTCCGTAATACTGAAGCTTAACAGAACAATCTTCGATATAAAAGCTTTGAGCCTCAACGCACACTTTGTAATCTGTGTCGAATGGAGTGAACTGGTAGGAACAATATGACGATAATTTGCTTCCGCTCCATGTGACGTAATAAGTATCGTCTTCAAAAATAGTGTTTGTGTTGTATCCAGAACACGTGCTATCAAAGTATACTACAAATATAAAAAGATGCAAGCATTAGAATCATTGATATTTAAAAACATCTAAAATAATACTATAGTCAAACCTCGTTATCTCGAACTCAATGGGACCGAGGAAAAAAAGAGATATCCGGTGATTCGAGATATCCAGGGTAAAATACTTAAAGAATAAGGGGTTGGGACTTCCAAAGAACTTTGACATATCCATGGTATTCCAGATATCTGTGTTCGAGATACCGAAGTTCAACTGTATTTCTAATTTTCTCACAAGTTGAAGTGTATCCTCTGATGGAAGGTATCGTAACAAACACCAAAAGAATCTCGAAGCGGAAATTCATCTGAAAAAAATGTATGACATATATATTTTTGTTTTTAAAGTATCATTCTTAATCAAGAAGTGTCTCTCACTAGAGGCATGCTGCCATTTAAAGAAAAATGTGTCGTTTCTAAAAAACATCAAAAAAATCTATCATGAATATGTGCTTGAATATAAAATGAGCAAAAAAGCCTAATTTTATTACACAGGCACTTGTTTCTGTAATACATTTTTAAACACAAAGTATAATAATATCACAGGGTATCTACTCCGAATTACATAGAAAACCCCCTCCAAAGAATCGCAGTCATTAACGCTGTCTACGGAAATAAAAGAATTACTATAAAGACAGTCATGTAATATATAGTCGTGTATATAGAGGATATTTAATGTTTTGTAGATGAATATGAATTTATTTCACGAGTGGGACAGGATTTTTTGATATTTTCACGAGTGCGAAGCACGAGTGAAAATATCAAAAAATCCTGTCTCACGAGTGAAATAAATTCCATATTCATCTACAAAACATTGAATTTTCTGTTTATTACATTTTCTTAGATTTTTCCTTTGCCCCTGTCTTTTCGTCACACAGTGTCATAAGTTATGACGTCATAATTGAGCGGTTGAGACGTCATAGCTATAAGAAAAATGTTGTAAACATGAATTTTTAACGATATATTTGGAAAAACTTTGGCAGTATAACTATTCTCTGTCAGAATGACTCATTAACTTTATCTTATAACAGGCGAGGTATTTTTTTTTTTTTTTAAAAAACACTCTTCGTGAAGGGAAGGAAAATCGTAAGTTTTGCCGCACTTTTGGTATTCTCACACTGTGAGAATACCATTTTGATACCCTTTCACATTGTGTCAGAATATCACTTTTATTCAGTAAACAAATTACAGTATCTCACTGTTGAAAATGTAATAAAGATAAATCTATAATTATAAATTAATAAATTTTGTAAATAAACTCCGAAACTCCTGTTCAAGAGTTCATAATTATTCATCTTATATTACACTAGATATGAGATGATGTCCGTAACTAATATCTAGATTTCATAATGATTATCGTGAATTTAATTAAAAACCTACTTTCGTTTTCGATAAACAGTTGTGAAACAGAAAAAAAAGATATCACGGTGGTGGTGAAGGTTGGCGGATCTAAGTTACTGAGCAACTTTGAATGAAACTGACAACAAGCAATCGTTTAATTATTTGACAAAACGTCATTAGCAAATTTTACAATCAAACTTTTTTAATGGTATAAAAGAAATAAGCTGTGGTGACTGATTACAAAATAAAATGTGCAAATCGATCTTAGTCTTGATGGAAGTTTCTAGAACGTCACATGGTATCGAACCAAATGTAAGGGAAAACACTTTAATGTGAATTGGCATGGAAATAATGGTAAAGCAATTGATATGACTGTATGTTTTGAATATATCTATACATGTATATCGAAAGACTATAAGTAAGTTGTGCTAATAAATTTATCGGTAAAATGTGCAATATTCACCAAAGAGAGCATCATGGCAAAGAACCCGAAGCACAATTTGTACAGTACCCGCATCGTTATTCTTTACAGGATACACGATACGATAGGATACACGCACGATAGGATAAACGCACGATACGATAGGATACACGCACGATAGAACAGGATACTCGCACGATAGGATAAACGCAAAACACGATAAACGCAAAACACGATAAACGCAAAATACGATAAATGCAAAACACGATAGACCTGATAAACGATCTTCACGATAGGATAAATGCAAAACCTGATAGGATTGTTTCAAAATGCGAAATGTTTTTTGACAAGACGAAAAGTTTTCTTTTTGATATACTATAGTATGATAATTTTAATTACTTACAAAGCAGCAAATCGAAATGATATATTAACATTTTAAATTTATCATGATAAAACATTTGAAGTAATTATGCTTTGTAAAGGATATGGTGTTTTTGTCAATAAAATTGATCGTCATCAAATTCAAACTGTAATTATTTTAAGAATAATTCCACTCCATGATGGAAATTAGGCGATTTTTTTGTGTAATTATACAAATGTCGAAATTCCTTCGAATCGTTGAATTTGAATTTTGAGTCCGTAGACAAGCCAAGTTTTACACCCAAGTGCAATAAATTCACAAAACACTATAGATATATTCATTATTTTAACAAATAAAACCTTACGAAATTCATAAAAAACGTTGATTATTTTTACGGAAAAACACGTAAAAAATGAAATATTTGGATTCAATATCTTTTGCTAGAAGTCTGCGAAATATCCAAAATCGCCTTTAATAGTTTGTATTTAATAATTCAAATCTTACAAAAAAAAAAAAAAAAAAAAAAAAAAAAAAAAAATTACTAGTCATAATTTTTTTTTTGGGGGGGGGAGAGATTGAAAAATTATTGTTATAATTATTTTAAGGTTAATGCTTTCTCCTCCAAATTTTTACGAATTTGATTTATATTTTATATAAATTAATTAATTTTTTTCACGTTTTAAAATTGCTGAAATTGCTAGTTGCATTGAGACAGACCGTGCACTGGACTGTGAATAATTAATCTCTCCTATACATAAATATATATGTCACACATATTCCGTGCAAATAGAAATTATTTACATATATATTCCAAGTACATACATTGTATATGCATATATGAGGAAGGAGACCTGCGAAAAAAATCGAATTAAATAAAATTAATAAACGTCACTAGATCTGTCATCATCTATTATCCGAAAAAATATCGCATTTCCATTCTTTTGTATTTATTTGGGTATTTTTATAGGCTTGTAAGATTAAGCTAGAAAGGAGCATGCAGTCGTACAAATAAAAAAAATTTTACAGTGTACCAGCATGTGTAGTATACAGTAGTAATATAATGGTTATATAATATTGCCCATCGACAATAATAATGTCTTTAGCCATTTTTGTTTGCTTTTCAAAACATTTCTTTTTAGACCCCACCCCCCTCCCCCCGGCCACCCCCAAAGAAATGATATTGCTTTCATAGCGTGCTTGTGTTATAAGCATTTACAATAACAGAATTTGTATCTACTATAGATACGTGTAAACTAAGCTTACAATGTATATGAATATATTTATTGGGTACTTAAACTTTGTATTAAATAACATTGAATGGTTACGTACACTTGTTTACAACATATTAGAACACACACAAAAAATAAATAATAAATCAATTTCCACAATTTGACAAGTGGATTTTCGGATTGAATAATTGTCAATTATTGCTATAAGACTTTGTAATAATTGTTACAAAACTTATCTTATATAGGACGACATCGGCAAAATTTGACAGAACTTTGTAAATTATGAAAGTCTTATTAATAAACCCATTTGAGGCACAGTCAGCGGGGAAGGGGGGGGGGGGTCCATACCCCCCTCCAAAAAAAATCCGATTCAAAAAGCCAAAAAAAAAAAAAAATAAAAAAAAAAAAAAAAAAATAAAATAAAATAAAATAAAAATATATTTTGACTTCTTCAATATAGTCACGTATTATATGCAATCGATAAACACGAATAAAATTAAATACAAGGTATATACATGTACCAGTCTTGTGTATCACAGCAGAACCGGGCGATTTTTTTTTCATGTATCTTTGAGACGCCTTTACATGTAACAACGACAGACAACACAGAAAACCCCAAGATCCAGAAGTACCGCAAGCGCATTTTTTTTTATTTGATCACACCAATCATGTTTATGACTGTAAACCTATAAAAATTACATAAAAATATACAAATGAACTAAATCAACGGAGTTTGGAGGACAAACTTCGCCTATATTTTATTTGATTCAATTATTCAATTTTTAATCTGTAACGGAAGTGTACATTTACCAGTTTTCTTAGTATAAAATCTTTAATTGTTAATTAAGTGTTGTTCATAAAAATTATGAACAATATCCAGAAAATAAGTAGATGCATTTCATTGAAACCCAGTATGGTTCAAGGTAAATACTTGACACCAGGTGAGAGCTAGAGTTCAGGTATGTCTACGTTGAATACACACGGGCCGGTCATGTAGGGGAAAGGGGGGGGGGTCTTGACTTGACAAGAAGACAGTGTACTGATTAGGCAGGTAGGTCAGTTCTCTTGTCATGGTAGCGCTTCCACCTGTCACTAAGTTACGGTATATATTATTACTTCATCTCCTCGCCGAAGTAGGTAAGATGTATAATAAAAATTTGTGTGGTTTTGTTTATTTATTTATTTATTTTTTACATCTTCTAAATGCAGTAGTTAAATATGAATGGCAAACATCTATATTATAATATATACTTATCAGAGAAAAATAATAATACAAAGGAACAACAAAACTTGTGCGCATAGACAAAATTTATGTTTCCGTTATTGATAAAAAGGATAGCCTTAATAAAGATACTGATATTTTTTATTCATAATTTATTTTTTGCACACATACCTAATGTTTTATGATTCTATAATTATCAAAACAAAGTTAATAAAGGTCTCGCTTTTGTGACTCTGACTGTGTAAAGGGATTATAATATTTCTATCTTTGACAAAAATATTTCTTACATATCGACAAATTAAAAAAAAAAATAACGAATGACTAAAATAGTAGATCGATTATTTCATGTACAAAAATAGAATTTGACTTTCGATTTGTGCTCTCTGCTTGGTGCAGGTACTTGACGTTTATTTATTTATTTATTTTCTTTTAAAAATATACCAGAGTTAGAGTATTATTTTCTCTTTTTGTTCAACAGTTAGATTAATCCTAAATAAATTAACAAAACGAAAGATGAACTCGAGATCTCTCGGGTGTTTCTTTTCAAGGTAAAGATAAAAAGCGGGGGTTTCCGAATGCACACGATAAACGCAAAACACGATACACGATAGAACCTGATAAACGATCTTCACGATAAACGCAAAACCCGATAAACGGAAAACACGATAGAAAATGCAAAACCTGATAAACGGAAAACACGATACGATAGGATACGATAGGATACACGCACGATACGACAGGATACACGCACGATACGATAGGATAAACGCACGATAGGACACGATAGAATTGTAAAGAATAACGATGCGGGTACTGTATGCAGCAATAATAAACCTGGTTACATGTAGTGGGAAAAGGTCAATGAATATGGTATTGTTCAAATATATGATGTGAAAGTGGTACTTTCCAAGATTTCACATTTTACTAAACCTGATTACAATTTATCTACCATGAAGTCAAATGCTGATTGACTTTTTTCATACTTATTGTTAGGCCATTATTTACACATTGAATTTTCTGCGGGTTTTTCTGCTATTTCCCGATCATGACAAGGAGCACACGGCGGGTGTGACCGGTCGGCAGGGGATACTCACTCCTCCATGGCACCTGATCCCACCTCTGATGTCTTAGACGTCTGTGTTTGCTCTGCTCTTATTTTGTAATGTTTAATGGACTTTTGAGCTCGAATACTGTTCGTTATCTCCACATATTTCATGGTTTAAATCATCAATATATTTTAGTGGGTTTTTTCTGAATACAACATTTTGTATGAAATGTTAGGTTCATACATAAAGTGTGAAAAGCTATTTTAAGAATAATGCTGTGATAACTTTAATTATTAGTAAAATTTGCACATTCGCTTATTTTATTCCTCTTGGAAATGGAAACGTAGCACCCCAAGCACAATATGTACAAAGGTCCAAAATAAAGTTGTCAACATGTAAAAAGAAGACGTCGATTGATGAAATTGGTATTTTTTAAAAACTTTTTTACAAAAAGGGGGGTTTATATCTACTTCCGCTCCTAAACTAACTACGATACATTGAACAAACTATTTCCTCCTGCTATAAGCGTGTGATTAACTGTCGAAATTGTTATAAAGCAGTGAAAAAATCATTTCCCTGCGCTTCCTCCAGTTATTGTAGAAGGGAATGGTAAGAAACATTTTACCAGTGCATTTTCTCTGGAAGTGTAAATGACTTACTATTCTAGGGAGGGGGTACTCCATCTAAGTTAGATACCTTGTGTTATTATTACACTATGGGTTAAAAATTAATTACAGAATTACAGGAACCATTGCCTATGTACATGTTTCATTATCATACTTTTTTTTTCCAAAAATATTTATGTGAAAGCTCATGTACATTTCAAAGGCTGTTTCCTCAGTATGAATGAAACAAATCTCGTTCAGTTTATTTGGAAATGTCAAACAATTATACCTTCCCACTTCGTATATTATGAACAATAAAAGAATTAAAAGTGCCCTTTATTTGACTCTGTCTTACCTTTGCAATGTACATCCCGAGGTAGATTACACTCAATACTTAAAGTTATATCAATGATAAC